CGCATCGGATGATAGCTAAAGTGTTACTTCTGCTCCTCCTTCACATCCTGGAGAAAGGATCTAGGGTGTACCCCTGCTTAGCAGGTGTTAGCCACCACTGACCTCCCCGGCACTACCAGCGCCGGTTGACTCACCTGCAAGTCCTTAATCCCATCCCTGTGCAGCATCCCTGTGCAGCATCTCTGTGCAGCATCCCTGTGCAGCATCCACTATTCCGTCACTGTTCGTCCTTCGCAGGCATCAGCAGCAGGATACATACAGTGCTGAGTTTCATTTTTCACTTTACCTCAGCGGTCCCATCATAGACAAAATAAAGGGAGCGTGAGTCCCCAGAGGGTACGAAGTGAGTTCTGGCTTCTTGTCCTGCAGGCAGTGGCTGGAGCTAGAGGCGGCTGTGAGGGAGGGTGCAGGGAGGTCTGGGGGCTAGGGAAGGACTCCCCGGTGAGTGGCTTGTGGGTGTTGCCCATGGGTCACCTTTCTGGATGCCCAGGGGCTCCGTGGGTTATAGTCTACCTGACTTGGTATAGAGTGCCCGCCTGCAGAGGGCATGGTTCAAAGCCAGCCTCTGTGTGAAGACGGAAGCCTGGTGGCACTGGTCAGTTTCTGTGGAGTAACTACTCCAGCCATGCCTGAGTGTGTCATAGAACAAGTGGGAACGAGATCCTTCCCGCCATCCAGTATGTGTAAGTAGCCCCAAGGGCATGGGTGATAACTTAAAATCAAAATTGGGAATGATGTGTTCGGGGCATATGTTTGCTTTTCATGTAATTTATAATTTTATACAGTTTAATGTTTAACAGAGGCTGTCTTGGAGAGCCCTTACAGGAATCACTTGACAGTTTTACATCACTGTTTAATACTCCACACTGCCCTGGGTGGGCACCTAATCCTTCCATTTCTTAGTTCAGTTTGTCCCCAGGCATTCTGATCCGCCCCGCTGGATTACAGAAAGAAGCCCCAACACCGTTAGTCACCAAGTTTAAGTATCTTCCGAAATACCAGACGGACCGTGGCCTTGCCATGTGCGTCAGACATTCTATGGTAACTATCTGCCGACTGCAACCCTCCCATGTTATCGCATGACTGAGCAAAGTGGTGACTCCCTGAAGTCCAGCTGGGTGAAACCGAGTTTGCAGGGGAGACTCTGGCAGATGCCTCGCTCCTCTAGCACGTGTGGAATCTCTAAACCCGCTTTGCCCAACCTGCAGGCAATGACCCCACCAAAGAGGCTCCACTTCCAGCAGCTGTCTGCCTATCTCAAGGAGGGGCCTCCTGGGTCCTCTAATTTACATATAGTTCCATATCATGATCTATTCAAGCCTTGGGGGGGGGGGGGGGGGGGACGACAGTATTTCACCTCAGGGGAAATGGCACCTCAGCCTCGCAGTCTGTCTGTCCCCACACTTGGATCATGATGGCTAGGTCTTGAGATCCTGATGAGTGCCTCTCCTCACCCCCACGTGTGGGGCAAGTCTCACAGTTCCCTTCTGTTTGTGTGTTTTAAAGGCCCAGTGGCACCCGCCTGCCTGGCCCATCTTTCTGCTGCTCCTGAACACCACTCACAGGTTGCACAGTTCATACACTGTGAATGGCTTTGGAAGGTGCACCACCAAGGGCTGGATCTGTGGCTTTCTGGCTGGTAGGGACTCTGCTGAGCATTGAGGCCAGAGTGGCAGGGTGTCACGTGGCAAGAAGACACACCGGAGAGAAGAAGCCAAGCTAGCTTTGTTATCAGACCCGCTCTCAAGACAGCCCATCAGCCCCGGGTGCGTGAACAAGTCCACCTTCTTAAGGCTCCGCTAAGGGTCTGGTGGGCCCACCAGGGCTCCAAGATGCTCCTCACTTCTCCCATAATTCCCCACTTGACCTTTTCCTAGGCCCTCAGTCTGCTTCCTTCTTCCTCCTTAAGGACTTCGCATATTTTCATTCCCCACTCCAACCTTCAGGATGCTTGCTTTACTCTAGGTCTACCCTGCGAGTATCTACGCAGTCAAGACTGGAATGCCTGCACTGTAGCAACATCGTATTCCCACAGCTGACCATGTGAAGCTTGAGCATGCAGCTTTTGTCTGTCTGAACGCATCAATCATGTCTGGCATGCTGCACTCCTTGCTGCTATCCAGTGTGGCCTGCAAATCTTCCCTCATAAGTGATGGCTGAGGATCCTGTGATTAACACCCTTTAAAGCAGTATGACATCTCTTGATTTAAGCTGATTTTCTTCTGAAGGGCTCTCCAGGCTCTTTAATATGCTAATAGGTATTGTGAAACACCACTGCAGTGTGTGACCAGGCTTCTCTGGTTTGCTAAGGAACATCTATCAACAGTCCTTGGTCATCTGTGTCTACAGTGCCATTTGGACATCCTGACAGCCCTTGATGAGAGTCCTGAGATCGCAGCAACTGCTAACTCTGCCTTGCTCAGAGGCTTGTGAAGATGCCTACATATTGGTTATAAATATTCAAGTAGGTGTGCTTCATAATGACTGTATGATCATTTGATGTCGATGATTTGTGAATACATTGCCAGAATCAGTTGTTGAGATAGGTGTGCCAATTTGTAAAAGAAGAAAATATTTTTAATACCATAGGTGAAAATTGTCTATAAAATGTAGCCAGGATGAAGGAATGTTTGTCTGCAGAGACTCTGGAGACTTCTAGATGAACGGTGGGATCAGCTTTGAAGAAACAACCTAAATCTGACAGTAACACACCCACCTAGGGTGTATTTCCTGTGCCACAAGAACTAAGAGTCCAAAACAGGGGGGTCTACAATCATGTCATACATGAGGGTTATGCATGTTGGTGTGTGTGTGTCTGTGTGTGGTGTATAGAGGTATGTGTTTAGTGTGGTGTGTGTGTGGTGTATGGTGGTGTGTGTATATGTGTATGTGAGTGTGTAAGGAGCTGAGGGGGCAGTGGTGTGTGTATGTGTGTGGTGTGTGTTGGTGTGTGTATATGTGTATGTGAGTGTGTAAGGAGCTGAGGGGGCAGTGGTGTGTGTGTGTGTGTGTGTGTGTGTGTGTGTGTGTGTGTGTGTATGAGCATTTGCATATAGTTTGGGAAAGGGATGTTGACTTATCACTCCCAACTCCCCTTCAGTGTTCTGAGACAGAATCTTGCTCTGTAGTCCAGGCTAGCTTGAAACTACAGCATATTCCAAAGTGAACATTATTCATGGCAATCCCTCTGTCTCAGCCAATTGAGAGAGGGTTTACAAACACGAGTCATTGTATTCTGCTTACTACTGTTTTTAGAGAGATCTTAGCACACACTTGTCCTGTTTAAAGATATCTCATTCGCAGGAGGTCCAGAGAAACCAGTGAACATCCAGGGGAGGGAAGAGGGTCTTCCTATCACCCACCTCCAGGGGAGGGAAGAGGGTCTGCCAGTCACCCTCCTGACTCTCACCTCAGGGTGTCTTGAAGTGTGGGGTCTCCCTACTGGACATCCAGCATGTCTATGATAGGCTGGAACTATTTGAACAGGGATGTGTTATTTCACTCATGGATATGTCCATCAACTTGATATGATCTGCCCCCCAAGTGTGTAACTAAAATGAATGTGGAAGCAAGAGTCAATTTTTAAAGAATTTTATGGAGTTCACAGGATGGATGGCTTGCCTTACAAGTGTGAGAAACAGAGTCGAGATCTCAAGCATCCATCTGAATGCCAAGTGAACACAGAGACCCTCCTGTGATGCCCATTCTCAAAAGGTGGAGGAGGGACTACCGGAAGCTGAGCAGCTACACTAGCCAGGTGGGCAGCTGCAGGTTCTGTCAAGGTCTGCTTCAATGAATACTAAGTGAACAGCTGAGGAAGGTTCCTGATGTGAGTCCGGGGCCTCCAGACACACCCCTGCACACAGATAAGACCTCACAAGTGAAATTCACACAAGGAGGCATACCACATGTGCATACATGCACACAGGCATGCAAATAAATTACATTTAAAGAAGAAAAATTTGAACTGGAAAAAGCAAAGCTTGGCTAATTAATTTTCTTCTGTCATCCTTGTTTTGAACAGCCGTGCAAACAAAAATGAGCTGAAATTTGAATGAAAGATAATTTGGAAAGAAGTCAAATGTTACAATAAATATGAAACATACTAAAAAAAATCAAGATTGTTTGCAGAAAGCTCAGGCTTGGAGGAGTTTATACATTTTTAAAATGTTTCAATACCTTGGTTTGTATAACTGATTCCACATCAGTATCTCATTCTTTGTGAATGATTAATATAGACCAATTTTTTGGTAAATGAAGCAGGAGTTTCATAAACATATTCTCCTTTCCTTCTTCTCCCTCCCCCCTTGAGTTGCACATTCCATCTGGTTCTCTTCTTCTCCTACCATCAAGTTATTCATAACGATAACACAGTAGATGCAGAACAGACAGCAAGTCCTCTGGCTCACCAGGCACGTGCATCCTTTCTGCAGGCTCCGGAAGGCTAGCACACAGACTGCAGACCTGTTCATGCCAGCCTTGTGCCCTGCGTGGCCTTTCCCAGGACGCAGGTTTGCTTGGCACTACTGCCTTCAGTCAGATACTAAAAAGAGATTTCCCTACTGCAGGGAAATACATGTGTGTCTCCTGACCCAGCCGAATGCGTGATCACCCTACAAGTGTACCACCCTTCCCCTCTTGGTGCACAGAAAATCACATAGATGACAAAAGCCACTCAGGTCAGACATATCACCTTGAGCCAGAATAATTACCATATTACTTATGTGGTCCAGAATCCACTATAGCCATCCAGGGATTTCTGTGTGGTCCATGATGATCAGAAGCTGTCTAGAATAGATCCAGTAGGCTCCTCCAATAGGAATAGCCCCAAATGAACCAAAGTGGGTTCACTTGGTATCACAGGAATCAAAAACTATGTAAGCTCTCATCTAACATTCTCTTTTTTTTTATGCAAGAACTTGGTGTATAAACATTCTAGGCCTTATGCATGTCATCTGTGGATAGGCCTGCCCCAGTTAGTCTCCATGGAAACAGTTATTCCTGCCCTCCTCTTCCCAATCCACCATCTTGAACCTCCAAAGACACTCTCTGTGGACTGAGACCCTGTGTGGCAGGAAAAGCTGTAGGTATGTGGAACTCCCACCTCCCTAGACACTGTGTGTCAAGTCACAGGGAAGTGTCAAGTCCCAATGACCCAAGACTTCCTTTTGCCTCTGAAGACATCTTCCTGAGTTTTTGTCTCAATACTGTCACTTCTAAGCCACCCACGTGCTTTGCCACCTGTGAGTCAGTTGAGGGCATCTGACCCAGAATGCTCAGTGCCTGGGTAACAGGTAAGGTGAAGATATTTCTCTTTGTTTCTCTCTTTAAAGCCTTAAAGCTGTTCCAGGACCACATCCGGTATCTCCGTTCTAATCCCTTTGTCGCATCAGAAAGTAGGTATTATTCCCCTTTCCACCCTTCCATCTATCTCTATTTCAAAATTACCCAGGCAGACAGAAGTCTATGCTAACGACAGGAATTAGAAGAGCCTGTTAATTGTGTTAATTGTCTTTAAAAACCACCATCATTTATTCGTCCTAGAAAAGGAAGGGATTCTAACACAGACCATGAGAGGCTGGATCGGGAGGACCACGTACTCGGCGTGATAAACCAGTCATTAACAGATGAAGTGCTGTATGGAGTGTCCAGAGGGGTCAGGTTCATAGGCAGTAATTAAAAGAGTGGTTGCCAGGGGCAAGAGGAGAGCATGAACGGAGAGTTTGGGTTGGGGAGATGGTTCAGTCCATAAAGGGCTCACTCTGTGAGCACAAGAACCTAAGTTTGATTCCCAGAACCCAAGTAAAAAAAAAAAGAAAAAGAAAAAGAAAGAGCAAGCAAGAGTGGGTCAGCACTGGGGAGACAGTGATGGGCAGATCTCTGGTGCTGATTGTTTGGTGAGCTCTAGGCCTAAGGGACTATACCTCAAGGGAGGCAGGTTGCATTCGTGAGGCCCACACCCAAATTTGTCCTCTGACTACCATGTGCATGCATACATATACTCACATGCATATGACTTCCCACATGTGCTCAGACAGTGTGCGTGAACACTCATATGTGCATGTGCACAGAGAGAGAGAGAGAGAGAGAGAGAGAGAGAGAGAGAGAGAGAGAGAGAGAGAGAGGAGAGAGAAGGGGTTTGGTGCTTCAGGAGACTTAAATCACAATGTTGGAAACTGATCCCATGATGGGGAGAGGGATGCATTTCTAAGAAGGGCAAGCAGCTGGCCAAGTTGGCTAGTACCTTTCAAACAGGATGGAGACCCAAGTGGGCATGCCTGCTCTCCATGTCTCTGAGCTAGGACATCACTCAGAAAGAGACAGCTGCAAGGTCACATATTATTTGGTTGCTAAGCAAATACCAGGAATTCCAAAACTCTGTTGTGATAGACAGATGTGTCTCATGCATGCAGTCATGTCATAGAAGTGCCACCTTAGCGTGAGCCACTTGAAATTCCAGTCTTCAGTGTCACTTGAGTGCATGGGTCAGCAGCACAAGGCCCAAGTGTCCTGACCCTGCTGACATTTGCATGTCCATCAGCTTCTGCCACTACACAAATTAAACAATAATACTACAATTCTAGACCCAAGGGCAGACATGACCTCAGGAGAGCGGCAGTTATGCAGGATGCGGTGAGTTGCTCAGACAAATGCATGCCACCTGTTTTCTATGTATTTCAGCACTGACGTAGTCTGCCTTTTTGGACACTATTCTATGTCTTATCCACAGAGATGCCAGCATCTCCCCTACTGAATGTCACCTGCTCTCCCATTCCCTTTCTTGGAGTCCTTCTCCCAAACGAGGACTTGAAACTGTTTTTAGCAATAAAATGTGGTTGGACCAGCTACTGCTTGGGTCATGGTAAACTCCAGCTTTCTCATGGGTTTTTCCATCTCTGGTCAGTAAACTGTAATATAATAAAGAGGAGAAACACAATAAATTTTATTTTATTTTATTTATTTTATATTATTTATTTATTTTATATTATTTATTTATTTTAAAACAGGATTTTATTATGCTGTTTTGTTTTTAATTACTTTTGTAGGACACGGAAGGATCCTACAAACTTCTCACATGTATTCCTTACAGAGTTCTTTCATGGAGACTAGATGGTAAAGAAGCATGTACCTCCGGCTCCCAAGACCCACTTATAGAGGGCAGTCTGCAAAGTAAACTTGTCAGAGTGGTCCCTCTGAATGCCTGACTTCAAAGTCTTAAGCTTCTGCCGTTTGTAGTCCTAGGTCTCTCTCTCTCTCTCTCTCTCTGTGTGTGTGTGTGTGTATGTGTGTGTGTGTGTGTATGTGTGTGTAAGATTTCTCAGGAGTAACTAATTTCATGAGAAATGAATTAGAACATCAATTTATCCTTGCTTCCAAAAGAAGGCCTCTGCTCCTCAGTAAGGGGAGCAGTACCCTTTGTTCCGCTGGCTCTCCCCTGGAAGAGGTTAGTTCCTGATCCCAAGGCATTCCCCAGATGAGGAGGAACTCAGTGATGAAAGTGGGAGATGAATGTGGATGCTGAGGCCACTGGCAAGCATCCGTCTTTGTTGTGTAAATAAACAACCTCCTCCACCTCAACTGTTTGCCATTAAGAGGGAGGTCCTTCATTTAAAACCAGTCTTTTTTTTTTTTTTTAAATCCCATGCTCTTGTTTTCTGTGTTTTTGTCTGTATCTCTTTATTATATTTTGCAGCACAAGTGCTAAATCAAAGAAATTAAAAAACAGTGTAAACACTAATAAATGTTTAAACGTTTAGACACGGATACAAACACAATGCTTCTCTCATCTTCGTCATTCCGGGCCCCTTGTCTTCCATGGTGGTGTCAGCTGGAGACATGCGTGTCAAGTCGTAAATGGTGAAGTGAATTCATGTTACACCACAGCTATGTGGCTGCAGCAATACAACCCAGCTGTGGAGCAAGGTGGTCATGTTCGAGCTGCCCACAGTAACCAAACCCTTTGAACTCATTAGAAACAGATCCTCCGCCAGGGAGCAGCTGATTATCGGGCGTTCTCCTGACCCGCTGTGTAGGACCCTCTGAGGTAGGCCGGCTGCAGTTGGAAAATGTGAGGCAGCTTAGACTCCAAGATGCATCTTTCCGATGATGGCAGATTGGAAACAGCCCTCCTGCAGCTCCACGCCTCCCCATCCGCGTTTCCAGAGAGCTTTCCTTGGCTTGATCTTCTGCTAAGATCTATGCACCTCTAAGACCCTGCAAACTATCTACAGAATTCTCCCCAGGAGTGATTTGGATAACGCAATTGTTTATGGTGCTTCGATTAGCAAGACTGTCTCCCAGTGAGTGAGGGGAGGGTGTTCCGGTGTTCATAATCTGTGGATGATGGCCACCAAGCTTTACTAAAGTTCTAATCTGTGAATCACAGATTTTGGAAGTGCTAGAAGGGGAGATTGTGGCAGGAACATCACATAATGGCATTAGGATGGCCATTGCCATTTACAGACCTTGAACAGTCATGTCCCTCCACTAGGGAGATCTACATCATCCAAGCAGGAAGCTTCTTCATGACCCTGTGACTTCTGTGGTATGAACCTCTCTACTTAAGACTAGTCTGTTCTTTCTTTTGAGTCTTTTAAGAAAGACCTAACTCAGTCTGACTTCTGGATATTTCCCAAAGGTCTCTTCCCTTTTGCACAGGAAATCGGCTCTTTAAATTCCAGCAACAGGTGCAGCACTCAGTGTGGCAGACTGGAGTCCACAGCAGCATGATTAATAGGACAGGAGCTGTGGAGAAATTAGAAGCTGTTCCTCACCCTGGCTTCCCAATATGGAGACATGCCTCTTGTTAGCTTAGACACTGGCTTCTCCTTTTCCTGGTCTCAGTGACACCCAACCTTCCCCGAATCTCAAGATTCACTTTGTGAATAACTATTCTGCAGACATCCTGAGGGCACATCCTGCATCCTCCCCGTCCAGCTCCCAAGCAGCCTCCCCGAGCAAACACTTGGAAGTCCTTGGGTCTCCGGAAACGAATGCAGGGAGAATGCTGGGATGCCGGAAGACAGGCTGAGGCTTGTCTTTGTTTCTTTTCATCTACATGTCCACTGTGCCAGTTATGGACTTCACACCTCATTCTGTCCCTCCTACTCTCCAAGCAGCTGACCACACCAGGGAACCAGAGCTGGAAGTAGGCGGGCTGGGTCCATTTAGCTCTGGTCTGCCTTCTGCCCTGTGCCTTCTTATCCCTGCCGCCGTGGGACCTGGACTCACGGCGTTAGATTACAGAAGCCCAGTGTGCCGCTATCCTTTTACCCCTGTGTCCTTCTGCCTATATCCCCATCTCTCCGTGTTTTAGTTGCAGGGAGCTTCCATGGAGGCCCTAGCTAGCCTCTAGCACTAGTTTTATAGTGAATTGATTATGAAGCAATCAAGCACAGAACTCAAGCCTATATGATGTACATGTGCTATGTAGGGCTATCTAAATGGATTGATAAAGATATGTGGCATGATGGAAGCCATAGAACATTTCGTGTAGTATTATGTATAAGATGAATACAAAACCACTTCGATTGAAAATATTGTATATAACGTGCTATAAGACATACATACTGATATTTAGTGGGTGAGCTATGTGCAAATGTGTTATGGTTATTTTCTTAGCCAAAAAAATGTATATGCATGGTATGCTTAACATAATGCAAAAACCCAAGCTCTTGTGACTTAGGGGATGTGCACGTCCAATGATGTCAAACCTGTTTCATCAGCCTGCTCCATCTTCGTAGCCATGGTGATTGTAAGGAAGACCTATGGTCCCTGCCTGATGAAGACCTGAAGTGAGTTCTTCCCACAGTAGAGTCAGAGGAGCAGTAGAGATTCTTTCTGCTCTGCTCCACTTACTCCTCCTTGTCTCATTGAGATGTGACAATCATGGAAAAGGTGATATCCTGAGTTATGGAGGAAATGGAGCCTTTGTCATCTTTATTGGAGAGTTGCTGTGAATATTCGCATGGTGATGCCAAGTAGACAGTCAAATGTGCCATTCAGGGATGCCAGGGCTGGAGAGTCACCAGCCATCAAGGTGCTGAGAACCATCGCCATCAGTTTGAACCTCAAGTGAGCATAAGTCAACGGAGAACACTGTGCCCCTGGGGCGGTGGACCTGAATGGAGGAAGAGGATGGTACACGTGTCCTACAGATGCCTACTTATCTCAGTGAAATGCAGTGTTTATCAGAATGCACACTGCTCAGCTCTGCAGCTTAAGAACTGAGGATCCATGGAAGTATGGGTATCCTTGGAGTACCAAAGAACAGTTTTGAGGGGAACAGAGCCCAGTGAACTCTGTAACCTCCCATGTTCTCTCTTTCTTCCTCTCTCTCTTTCTCTTCTTTTTCATTTTCTGATTATTACTAGAGAAACATTTCATCCCCCTAAAGCATGAACTCAACACAATAACGTTTTTCCTCACTTATGTCCTTACAGGGCAAGTATAAAATATTAGTTTCGGGAATTTGGAGAGAGGAGCACCTCCCTCTTCTGCTCCTCTTTTTGTAGTTCAAAACAAAAACAGAAATCAAGGTGGGGGGACGATTGACAAAGGGCTCCCTTGAGAATGAGCTGCTTCTCCGGTACATATAAACATTCTGATGGTCCTTTAATTACCACGTATTAATTTGTGGAATAAACTGAAGGATGTAAATTAAATACTTCCCACAATATCCTAACTCTAACTTGACAGAGATGATTAATGAACTTACTTATGTTGAATTTCCAGTGAGATTACAGAAATTTTCTAAAAATCCCATAATCACTATATCTTTTGTAGCATGAAAACTATGACCCTCAAGATCAATGGTAATTTGCAGTAAAACAGGCTGCTGTGATAGAATCTGCTTGACTTTCTCTTTGGGCTGCTCTAAGTGGTAACTTTGTTCTGAAGGTTGTCCATGGAGTTGTGAAGTACCTAGTCATTTCTGGGCTCCACAAACTACCCACAGGTCTCCGGCCGATGTCTCCCAGCAGCCCCCACAACCCCAGGCCTCCAGGGTTACTCCCTCCTTGCTCCTTGCTTTTTTGGGGGAGTGTGGTTCATTTGTTTTCTCCCTTTCTCCCTTCTTTCTTTCCTTCCTTCCTTCCTTCCTTCCTTCCTTCCTTCCTTCCTTCCTTCCTTCCTTCCTTCCTTCTTCCCTCCCTTCATCCCTCTCCCCCTGCCCCGCCTTGCTTCCTGAGTCTTGATTTTGCATTTAGACTAGCAGGCAATCAGGATACCCTGTCTCCTCTTAAACAAACACATGGACAACTCGTGGCTAGTCAGTCTCTCAGATCTACAGTCACGGTGATGGGGCAAACCTAAACCATGGATGACTGTAGTTAGGACAATCTCAATGCTTTTCTGGGGGACTCAATAGGTATCTGAACCTCCTCCTTCTCTGAGTGTCTGGAGGTGGGCATAGCCTGACGTACCCCCTCCACATGAAGGGGAATCTAGCGATTGGACATGGAGCAGGTGGGGTCCGAGAGAAGAGGAAAAAAAGAAGAGATGTGGGCAAGCATGCAAACTGGGGACCAGAGTACCAGAGCAGCCACAACGTCCCCACTGTCCCTACTGCATCTCGTGAAGATGCTGGCTGTGCCACCCTGGGTCTGGGAGCCTGCATGGAAGCTTCTTTTGTATCTCTTACTAGCAAGGGTCATCTAAACTACAGATCTGAGTAAAACCAAAAACAAAAAAATTCTCTAAAACACAGGTATAAAAATCGTTGCTTACACCAATGCAGAGGTGTGGAACACATGGGCAGGCAGGGCCACTTGATTGTGCATGCTTCTCGGGGAGATTTCATGGTTTGAAAATCATGGTTTTTGTAAGCCCT